TGGGGAAACAACTAGCATTTTTGGATTTTGGTGTACCCCAAAGGTTCAAATTCTACTTAATTCACGTTACTTCAAAATAAGTCACGTAAATTCATGTTAATTTAGTTAATTCAAGTTAATTCACGTCAATTCAAACTAATTCACAATAATTCGAGATAACTCACTTTAATTGAAGTTTATTCAAATTAATTCACGTTAAATGAAATTAATTCATTTTAATTCAAATTAATTCACACAGATTCAAATTAATTCAGTTTTACTCAAATTAGTTCACTTTAATTCACATTAATTCAAAATAATTCACGTAAATCCAAATTAATTCACCCTTATTCACATTAAATCTCGTTAATTCTAATTAATTCTCGTTAATTCTTATTAATTCAGATGGCTGCATTTTTCTTTTAATTTCTTAGTTATCTTTTCCATAATAATTATGAATAGCAGAGTGTTTTTGCTGTTGCCTTGCTTGATGCCTTTCTTCACTTCAAACACCTCCGTTCTTTGTCCTAATTGTACCCTCGTCTTAATTGTACTATAAGAACTCGCCTTATTACTCGAACTAGTTTATTGTCCACTTTCCTCCATATTTCTCTTCTGTCCACTGCATCATTAATCTTTTCTCTAGGATTTTTGTGTAAATTTTAAAACCAGTTTAGGGCTAAACATATTGGCCTGTTTCGCGTTGTAATTGTAGTCCTTTCTTGGAAATTGGTACTACTAAATTGTTTTCACAATCCCTCGGTATCTTCTGCTCTACCCATAGCTGTCTGCAGATTTTCCAGAATCATTCTGTTCCCCTTTGGCCCATCCATTTTAGCATCTCTCGGGATAAGTCGTCCTCCCCGCTGGCTGTACCTATTTTTATTTACCTTCGTAGTAGTTTTTCCATGCTCCTATGATTTGCTTTGTGTTGGTTTGAATTTGTCCCTGGTTATTTGTATTGCTGCTCTTTTGACGTTCCTTATATATCCTCTTCAACTCTTTATTCGCGCCCACAACTGGTATTCATTTGTTGTAGCTGTGTTTCTTCGCCCATTTTCTCCCAGGAATTCCTTTTTTCTACCTTAATTGTGTCCTCTACTCTTCTTCTTTTGTATTTTTTCTTACCTGCCATTTTTTTTTGTTTGGACGTAACTTTCCTATGCTATCTTCTCTTCTAAAGTTTCTTCCTTCTTGCATATTGGTTGGTCTGATGTGACATCTTGCTGTTACTAGTCTTTGTTGCGTGCCGATTTCTGCTTCTTCCTTTGTTTCCGTTATTTGTGTGTGTGTACGTTATGTAGTCCATTATACTTTTGCTTCCACGTTCCTCAGCAACAAAAGTATATATGCCCTCTAGAGGTTGATTCCATAACGCGTTTCTTACACAAAAGTCCATTCCTATTTTCAGCGTTTTTTCCTTAGCAGCCCTGCTATTCCAGTCCCTCATTATTTAATTATTAACTTCTGATTCTCTTCTTTCATTTCATCTTGCAGTTATTGCTGCTGTTCAAGAGTTTATGGACCTAACCTCAGGTTATTCTTTTGTTTATTTCCTCAGTTATTATTATGCCTACGCCTTGCTTCGCTCTTTGTTCTGGTGTTACCCCTGAGTAATGCGGCGGGTAGTTATTTGTTAAACGAGTGTTTCCCTTGCCTTTATTCTTTGATTCGCTTGTCCATTTCTTCCGGTAGTTCTATTTCTTTCCCCGATAATGTTCCTATATTCGATATTCCTATGCCTATTCATTCATTTTGTGTTTCTTTTCCTTTTTATTTCTTGTATTATTTTTATTTATGTCTTGGTCCGGTGAATTTCTATTTAAGTTTTTTGAAATTGTACCTGTGCCTCCTGTTCATTTTGGTTATTTTGTGATGACTTTTCTCTAGTTTCTCATCGGGCCATCTCTCGCTCGCTGATCGTTCTTGCTCCTGTCTTTTGTTTTAGTGTTTCTTCCTTTCCGCTTTCTATATCTGGTTCCTTTTAAATTTCCTCCAGCTCTTCTAGGCAAAAATCTTCTCCGTTAATTATTACCTTGTTCTTGTAGTATATCAAGAGTACATGCTGGTCTTCTGTTCTTACTTTATTTCTGCATTTAATCAGTGTTGTTTTCTGGTATCCTGCATTGCTTTGAAGTATTCTTTCTCTATGTATATGTGTTTCCCTCTCAGGTTTTTAATTCCATTTCCATCTTCTTTTTCCATTATTTTTCAAACTTGTATGGCTCTAGTTTCTTCTGTACGGTATTTATCCAACCTTCTTGTTTCTACTGTTTCCTGTCTATTTCAATTTTTATTCCGATGTCCCTTATGATCACTCTTATTTGTTCTGATATTTGTACCTTACTCTCCTCTTCTTGGTCTTCTAATCCGTGTACTATTATGTTCTTTTTCTTGATTTCTGTATGCATTTCTTCTATCAGGCTATCATGTTGTGTATTCTTTACTTTCAGGTGTCGGTTTTCTTTCGTGAGTTGCTCATTCACTGCATTGATTGCTTGCATTTCCCTTTGGAGCCCATCTAGTTTTGTTTTCCGTACGTTGCGTTGGTCTCTTTCCTTTATTCTGTCAAGCTTATGTTTTATTTCCCTCTATTTTATTATTCTTTAATTATTCTTACTCAATCTGCGATTTCCTTCCTAAGTTTCCTAAGAAAATATCCTTAGGTCGGTTATGTTCTGTACTTTTACGGATGTTGGCTGCGAGACTTCTCCGAAGGTCCCGCCGATCTCGGCGTCGATTTTCGTTGCAATTAGTAATCGTGATGGATCTTTACGTTACTTTTGGTCTTCTTCTTGAGACACTTATTCACCTTCGGTATTTGTGTTTCCACGCGAGAACCGGACTTCTGCATTAGTTCATACCAACGTCATTGAAAGGTTATCTGTGCGATTCTATTGGCATTTACCATATACAGGGTGAGTTTTTTTTTCATTTTAAGCATTGGGATCTCGGAAACCATAAGACATGCGGATTCGGTTAAATGAGGAAAGAGTTGTCGTTTTAAGAGCTTATTTAAAAAATGCTTTTGTTTTTTGAAAAAATCCACAGCTTACTGGATATGAGCGAAAAACAGATTTAGTGATTTTTCATTTAACTGTTGTAGAATGGTTTGTATTAGAAATACAGAAATATGCAAAGAACAAAAAATTGTAGATTTTTTTCCGCTTAATAAGATACATTTATTAATATTTATTCTTCTTTTATAATTTTGGAGTTACAACGCAAACTTACATTTTTTTTAATGGTAATCATAGTTGACTGTGGCATTTTTAAAAAGTGCATTTTTTTCTGTTTACAATTATATAAGGTTCATTGTACTTACTTTGACAAATAAACATAGTATAAGAACTGTTTGTATTATTAAGAATAGTAAAAACAGATTTTGCCATGGGAAACATTTTTGTTCTCTTAATTACTGTCTATTATAATATTTAATTTGCAGTTAGTTGTGCGGCGGGGCACCGTTATGTTGAAACCAACATAAATGACGTCGCGTTTCCAAATCTAACCCATCCAACGTATCTTGAAATTCATTTGGTAGAAAACAGATTTAGTGATTTATCATTTAACTGTTGTGGAATCGTTATTATTAGAAATACAACAAAATGACACGAATAAAAGTTTTAGACATTATTTTTAATGCTTAACATGATGAACATGATGAACAACTAATTTATTTTTAGATCTTACAATTTTTGAGTTATAATACAAACTTTAATTTTTTTAATTGGTAGTCATAGTTGGCTTTGACATTTTTAAAAAGGACAAATTTTTCTCTTTATAACAATTTATATAAGGCTTGCTAAATGTACTTTAATAAATAAACGCCCTGCAGTAATATTCGTATTATTGAGAGGTAAGTAAACAGAGTTGGCCATGGAAAATAATATCTAGTAGGTACCTTTCATTTACCACGAAAATTGGACAGGCCAATGTTATCATCATTTTCTACCAAATGAATTTCAAGATATGTAGGACGGGTTATATTTGGAAACGCGACGTCATTTATGCTGTTTCAACATAACGGTGCCCCGCCGCACAACTAACTGCAAGTTAAATATTATAATAGACAGTAATTAAGAGAACAAAAATGTTTCCCATGGCAAAATCTGTTTTTACTATTCTTAATAGGTAATACAAACAGTTCTATACCATGTTTATTTGTCAAAGTAAGTAGGTACAATGAACCTTATATCATTATAAACAAAAAAAAATGCACTTTTTAAAAATGTCACAGCCAACTATGATTACCATTTAAAAAAATGTAAGTTTGCCTTATGACTCCAAAATTATAAAAGAAAAATAAATATTAATAAATGTATCCTATTAAGCGGAAAAAAATCTCCAATTTTTTGTTCTTTGCATTATTCCTGTATTTCTAATACTAACGATTCTACAACAGTTAGGTAAATGAAAAATCACTAAATCTGTTTTTCGCTCATATCTAGTAAACTGTGAATTAAAAAAAAACAAAAGCATATCTTGAATAAGCTCTTAAAACTACAACTCTTTCCTCATTTAACCGAATCTCTTTGTCTTACGGTTTCCGAGATCCTAATGCATAAAATGAAAAAAAACTCACCCTGTACAGTGTACATATAATGAACCTAAGACCACAATATCCCCAGCGGTTGGAGGCATATTCTTTCATACGATTCCCTTTAATGTAAGGTCCCTTACATCCAATATTGCAGTCCACCAGTAAGCAGTTTCTTTTTCAAATTGATTTCTGTGTATTTTGGTCGCTGTGTACGGCAGTTAGTAGGTGGTACGTTTTACAGAAATTAAATCGAAAAGGCGGAGAAAAGACCATCAACCAAAAACCTGGTATGGCATAGAAATATAAGAAGTAATCAATTACATATAAATACAAATCAAGCATTTCAAATCCGTACAATAAAATCTGGTGTCAAGTCACAAATCTTGTTGAACAAATGAATAAAAACGAAGGACAAACGCAAGATAAATCAATTAGTACAAAAACACATCTACGATCAATTTATACAGATAACCGAAAAGTGGTTAAACGTTTATTTAATATAGGTTTCCAGTTCAGTCATTACACAGTTATGATAAGCGGCCATCCTCTTCGGAAGCGCTTCTCCCTTCTTACCCTTACACAAATCGAACCATCTTTCGGACAGCTCCGGTACTTTGTCATCGCCGATCTTTCCATTTGCGACTAACCGAACACCTTCACCGAGTTGCTCAATAGCGAACGCCCGGTCAAATTCTCCATCCTTATCAAAAAATGGAATCTTTCGAAGACAACATTCCAAAAATTTGAAAGTGTCCTCATTCCCCAAGACGAAGTGAAATTTCTCGTCGTAAATGGCCGATAACGCACTTTCGTCAATATTCAACTCTTGCATGCACTCGAGGGTTGATTTTTCTGATGTTAGGCTAAGGGAAACCTACAAATTTATTATCCATCATGCAAGTGAAAACTTGAAGTGTAATTCAAAAACCTGAAAGACGAATAGTACGAGTAACCACAGCACCGCATTTTTCCACATTTCCATTTGTAGATTAGCTTTCTCAATACTAAAACTAAATAATTATATTTTTCTAGCAATATCTCCTAAGTGAAAAGGTCTATAGCAAAGTTCAATTTCTTGAAATGATACTATACCCGATAATGATGATAAGAAAATGTAATAATACTAATAAATAAACAAATCGCATGTTTTAATTGATATTTGTTTGGTATTTAATTTACATAGGCCATAGAATAAACCTGGGGTACCAACTTCGGCAGTTGAATTATTATACAATCGTGGAAGTCGGCAAGCTTCTCCACAGGGTTACTGCCTTTGGGAGTGTTACACCGGTTATATAATTTTTGCGATAGATCGTGCGCCTTGTCTATGTCAATTGCGGTCTTAGCCAGAATTGGAATTATCTTAGCAAGCTTCTCAGTAATGAGTTCTTTGTTTAACTCGCCATCTTCCTTGAGGAACTGGAACTTGCGAAGGTTACATTCGTAGAATTCCGTTGCGGTTTGAGAGAGTGGACGTATTACGAGAAATTGTTCGTCGAAGATACTGGAAAGTTGAGTACTACCAAGGCTTAGTTCCTTCATACACCTTTGGTTTACGTCATCTTCCAATAACTCATTTGGTATTTCAAAGGGTGTACCCTGTAATAAGCACATTGACGCCTTAACTTCATCAAGACCATAGATACCTGAGTAATCCAAGCGATCAATACGCAAAGCGCCAGGTTCTTAACCATCGTCGACGAATATAAAATCTACACTTGATTGGGTTTCGATCATGCTTATTCACTATATTTGTGTACACATTATGCAATCACCTGATAATATGATCTCCTTATTTTGATGTAACGCATTTGACAAACTTTAACTATGGTCGCAGATTAAAGGGCACAGATACTGATATTTAGCGTTTTTAACTATAGCGTTAGTAATTAATTTAAGCAGGTTCGGGAATTACAGTTCGTTGCTCAACACACGCTAATTTTTTTCTTTTGCAAAAAACACATCACTCATCAGTTATGTTCCTTCAAAAGTATTAGTAGTAGCTTAGTGTAAAGAATTCTTGCACTATGGTAGTAGGCAGATTTCACGGTTACGATCCGCAGTTAACACTTTATAGCCATCGGGCTTTCAAGAGCTGGTACTAGGAACCATGAAAAAAGGTGGTCTCATAAAATTAATACGTAGAGCTTAATTTCATTTTTGCTACATCAAGCAATTTCACAACCCCTCACGGTTCGGTAAGTGGGCATGGGTGCCTGGGGATCCCACTACCCTGGGTAATTTAATAAGTCATGGTCGAGTCCGTGTAACAACAAGTGGCAATCGACCTTTCACCAGAAAATCGTGGAATCAGAAGTTGACCAAATGTCGTACTCCTCGGGAGTCTAACGTACGGGAGAATGCAATACTCATTTTATCACGTTTGATAAGTTACCGAAGAGTACGCTTTTGTTAATACTCTCGTCTGAATGTTTCCGCATCCGTTCAACCAGATTAATTGGAATTTGGTACCTAGCTCCTACTAAACTTTTTTAGGTGAAAGCCACTAAAAATAGTGGTTACTGAACCCCATTAGTACGACGAGATGATTAACATGAAGCTGATGTTCTGATATGTGGCTGGTGTAGTGTAAGAAGTACAATTTTGGGAGTTTGTAATATAGTATATGATATGGGGAAGGCGTGAATAATGGATAGAAGAAAGGAACTGGGAGAAAATAAAGAATAGGGTACATATTATGGAAAAACCAATTCGCGAAGGTGGATAAGGGGCAACATTAGGCATATTAACAGGGGTAAAAAAATTTGCTGTGCACACCTGCACATACGCGATTCTGTCCAAAACGTTTCAGTTCTTCCTTTTATGTATAAGAATACGTGTACCAAATAAGAGTACAGACAGACATACCTTTAGAGCGAACGACAGACTGATAACATTGAGATTTTGTTTTGATTTGAATTGCTGGTGCTTCAAAACGTGTCCCTCCGTCAAAGAAAGTGGCGATCATTTTTGACCCCAATGAAATTCCTCCCTTACTAACGTACGGCTGGTAAAAAGAGGTAAGGGCCAGAACAGGGAATGAAGGAAAATGTGTAAAAATGGGGAGAGGACCACCGGATAGTAAGTCAAGACGAAGTGTAACGAAGAGAAAGGAGAGGATGGAGAATATAATAATAATATAATATAATAAGTGAAATGTGGAGGTTCGGGCAATACACATGCATAGGGGGAAGAGGGATATCAGTAATTGATTACATACCAGTAATCGAATACGAAATAAAAGAACTTAAGGCAGGAACAAGGATCGAATCGGATCATGAGCGAAAAGTATGCATTTTATTAAAAAAACTGTGAAGAACAAAATCGTTCCTTATAAAAAAAACAAAGAAAATGGTTTTTTAATACTTGCTGTATGACCAATACGAACCGAGTTGTGGCTTGTTAAAGGTTAGCTCTTGTTCGTCAAACGCTAAATTAGAAAGTTTCACAGTCAAATAACAGCAAAACTAGGCAATTTTCGAGAAAAACTTGTAGAATTTTCTTTAAAGTATTTAAAAAAAACCTTTCTTCTTTTTTTTAGAAACAAACTTTAGCATAAAAATTAAGTAAGTTACGTTCAAAATAAGGTAGATCTGTACTTTTTTCAGCGAAAAAATCAGCGCAAGCCACCCCCTAATTACCACCCTAATTAAAATTAGTCCTTCCCCTTTTCCAGTTTTCTTTAATTACGTATTATTAGTACACTCTAGAAGTGTGACCAGTTTAGAAGACTTAATTTTGAAATAATTCAAGCTAAAAGTGAAAAACGAACTTCCGCAATTCTGTGAAAAACGTCCTGGCATCTAATTGTAGCATTTTTAATTCCAAACATTTTCCTCGCCGGGAATTTTCTGTACGACAAAAATTAAGTGAGATATAGACGTTTAAAACTTGTATTTATATGGGAGCACTACCTTGTTTTACCCCTTTAAGCTCACCCCATTTTAAAACTCTTAGTTTTAAAGGGATTCAATGTACAGAGCTTTGGAGCTTTTGCAAAAACCTACAAAATGGTTTTTTAAATACACTTTCTATCATAAAAATAAAGGAGTTATGATTAAAAAACGAATCACAATTTTTTTCGAGATATTTTGAAAGCACAAACCGGAGCATGATTATCTACATGACCGGTCTACATTTCGTATACAACAGATTAGAAACTTTTATACACACTTACATCCGTTCCATACACCATCTATATACAGGGCGATTCACAAAGAATATCACTACTTTTAAAATCTGAATTTTAATTATAGCAACAAAAATAATAGAACCATGGGTTATATCAAAATGAAGAATATTAAAGTAAGTTTTTTTTCACTAAAGAATACGTTCACAGATGTTCAATATGATATCGATATGATTATACGTGGGCGGCTGTCCGGAACTATTCCCTTTGCACAAATACGTAAACACTCCTTCTCTATGAACTGTTTAATGTTTATATCACCGTTGGATATTTCATCATCTATCATCTAAGAGGTTGAACAGCATACTTTGTTCGAAATGCACACTGAACAACTGCCGTCAATAATAGATTATTAACTTTTTGACGGTAAATACATTTTTTTATCGAACGACAATAAGGGTTGATTTTAAGGGCTAAAATATTCTGAAATAATGTTCCAAAACCTCTAACAATCATTACTCAACTCATATAAAGCAAATTTTACTCACATTAAGCTTTAATATGTAGTTTTATGAGTTTTGGCAATGAGGGGTAATTCTCACCCCTAAAAAATGAAAAGCGCCCATCGGCAAAATAATTATAGGTTTTGAAGTGGAGGGTAAGTTGAACTTATCCCAAATTTTCATGCAAATCGATGCATTTTGAAAGAATTGCCAGCTTTTATAATATTTTAAGTTTCGTTTCCTGGACTATAAAGGAAAAGGAAAAATATCAAATGTATAAATACAAAGACAAAGGAAAATACAGCAATGGACAAATGACACCGTGGAGACCTATAGAGAATGACATTTGGAACATACTAAATAGAGAACAAGAGAAAAGCATAATATACAACTTCAAATAGAGGGCTGGAAACAGCACTTTAGTGGGGTACTACAAGTAAATCAGAAGAAAGAGGGAGTAATAGAGGAAGATGGATAGAGGTGGAGGAGAACCAGGTATCAAAACGGGAATCAGGAATTAAAGAAACTGAAGAATGGGAAAGCGACATGGAAGGCTGAAATAGGAAATGAGGCAAATATTTTCGCCACAGATAGTATCCAGGGGAAAACTAATACACAAGATATCACTGCCGAAAGAATGGGAGGAAGGGGTAATAGTGCCGATTTACAAAAGGGGCGACAAAGACCGTATGAAAAATTGTAGGGGAATCACGATAATGACGACTGTGCACAGAATAAGTGCGATGGTGTTGAATGAAAGGTTAGAAAGGGATGTAGAGAAGAGGAAAATGTTAGAGGAAACTCAAATGAGACTTGGAAAAGAGAGGAACCACCTATAATTGTATGTATGTGCCACGCAGAGTGGCTGAAAAGGAATAGGAAAATAGGGCGGAAAGGTGGAATCGATTTTAAATGGATTTAAAGACCACGTTTGACAGAGTAAATAAGGAAAAAGGTATGGAAAATGATTTATTTATTTTTGGTCCTTATTTTTAAGTGGGAGGGATTTCAGCTGCTTTACCAACCCAACCCACTATACATTAAAAAATATTCATGCCCGAACCCGGATTTGAACCAGGGACCTTTAGTGCCGCAGTCGAGCTTCCACGCCACTTCCACTTTGTAGCACGTTGCAGAGCTATTGTTAGAATAATCTATTTCTTGGTGTATCCATTGCAAGCAAACGGCCAGATTTTTTTACATTTGCGCTTTTTAACATTGAACTTCAAGTACGTGTTTTGTGCTAGCGAAGCATATGGATTTTTCCTTTAGTTGTTGGACAGTCTGGATATGTAGCTATGGAATATGATCACATTATTTTTGCCAAAGTTTGCATTCACAAATGTCTTGTAAGCGTCTACCACATCGCCATATGTAGCTGGTTGAGGCCACACTACACGGTGTAATCCTCTATCAAAGATATACATGCAATCCTGTTTGGGAATAATATCCCCTTCTTTGAAAGCAGTAGCTTTGTAACTTTGTAACTTTTCTCCTAGACGATATTGTTGGAATTTAACCACGAAATTTTACCCAGCAGTGCGTATCGATTTTCACTTTCTTTTTCTACCAAGAACCGTATCAGGTTACACTTCATTAAAACCAAGAGCTGAGACATTATTTGAGAATGCATGGAATTTTAATTGCCATCATCTGTATTTTATTAATCTTTGGCAATTGGATTTAGTACATTGAAAATTCTGGAATAAAAATCTACACATTTTGGCACACAGATTATAACTGCAAACAATCGGCAATGTGGGTAGCTTTAAAGCAATATTTGCGAACCTTCTGTGAACATGCTTTATCAACAGTACGAAACGACATTATTCGCATTATAGTTTGGAAACCTAATAAGTAGAACAATGCGGCGAGGTATTTAATTATGGAATTTCCATTAGTTATGCAACAACAATCCGACTGTAGGTAGTACATACAACACTTTAAATTGCACATCAAATTTTCATCCTCGCCCACATAAAGCCTTTATTGCGTTTTATGTCTCGAAATTTTATGATTCGCGTTCGAGTAGATTTACTTCGCAAACATTTGCGCACTCAATAAACGGGGAATACGAAGACACGGCCGTGTTTTGATTTAATTATGGAAATAGGTAACTTAAAAA